TCACAGGTTATTTCAATTCCCAGATTTCTCATGCTTTAAGCTCCTGACTCAATAGTTACATGTTCTAACATTTCAGATCTTCAGTAGCTCATGGAAAACTCACAGAAACTATAGCCACTATCCCCACTACATATATAGTTCCACTGGCAGACTATTTCCTTGTAGCTACAAGCAGAAAACACATCTTTGAAAACCCGACAAACAATCTGAGGTAAGAAGAAGACAAAACCAATGGGCAACTGATGCAACCAATGGGCAACTGATGCAACCAATGGGCAACTGATGCAACCAATGGGCGACTGATGCAACCAACGTCAAACTTTCCAAATAAACACAACACTAGCACTAGCGCTACAGTGTGAAGAAAACAGGATGACTCGCTGACGGTCACTTGATCAACCGGGAGAACACACTGACTCTGACTCAAATGTGCTCACTCTTGACACACACAATAGAAGAAAATGTGCTGACTCTTGACTCACACAATAGAAAAAAATGTGCTGACTCTTGACACACACAATAGAAGAAAATGTGCTGACTCTTGACTCACACAATAGAAGAAAATGTGCTGACTCTTGACTCACACAAGTTGGAGAAAAATGTGCTGACTCTTGACTCACACAAGTTGGAGAAAAATGTGCTGACTCTTGACTCACACAAGTTGGAGAAAAATGTGCGTTGTGCGTGGAAACCATCAGAAGAAAAACGTCCAAAGATCAGGTCCAAGGAAAAGACAACAGCTGTGACTTTCACCTTGACAAACAGGAAAGAAAGAAGGAACACGTCTCTTTGTCAGGACATGGATTTTTCCAAATCTAACAGCATTCATTCTCCGGACATACTGGAACAAAGATGGCTCAAAATCTTTGCCACATGACACACTCCTACAAGACACAAGAACACACATGACACACTCCCACAAGACACATGACAAGACAAACACATCATAAGACACTCCCACAAGGCTAACACACTCCCACAAGACACATGACAAGACAAACACTCATGACACACTCCCACAAGACACATGACAAGACAAACACACATAACACACTCCCACAAGACACATACTCATGACACACTCCCACAAGACACACCCACCACATGACAAGACACACTCCCACATGACACCCACAAGATACACACCAAGACACACACGCAGACACGACACACTCCCACATGACACACACGACATCCCTCACAAACAAGACACTATGAAACTTTGCTTGATCATCCTCAAGCAAGCACCGCATCAAAGCAAAGACCTCACTCAAACATGTGTGTTCACAAGCTCCTACAACCATCAACTGCTTCCAATCACGTCACTGCACGAGAGCCTACAACGTTTCTACTTTCAAAGTCCAGGCGGTAACTCGCGGTCACAAATTTGTCGATGATAAATTTATAAAAACAAGCGATTTCCTCTCTACCCTCCAAGTCTTGCCTGTCGATTGAATAAGCCGTAAGTTTCCTTCTGTGGTGTAGCGGCCGATTCAATGGGCTGTAATTTGAATATATACCGGTGCACACACACAAATGTATACTATGAAGTAAACAAACGGTGGTAAGCCATCTATGTACAAAGAGAGAGTTATAAGACACAAAGTCTGGAGTTGATAGACAGGAGCACAAAGTCTGGAGTTGATAGACAGGAGCACAAAGTCTGGGGACAAAGTGAACGCATCAATCACCTGTGAGTGTCTAGTACATCATATCATTCAAGGCAAGACTTGGAGAATCAACACACGGAAGAAATTCAGTTTTTGTAGCAGAGTACAATGTTCCGGTGCGTTCCGGTGAAAAGAGTAAAGTACTTCACTCCCGCAGAGTTCAAAGTACACACACACCAACACAACAACACACACACAGAATACACAAACGCTGTGAGATCATACATCACTACAACAAGTGGCTACCAAACTTACTTACAAAGTTTCAGTTTCCCAACCATGATCAAATCATGATGCCCATTCCTTTTGCTTTTTAAAAAAAATATCTGTACATTTTTTTACACAACATTTGTTCATGACAAGACAAGAAAGCACGGAGCTGCACAAACTCTGCTGTGCTACTGGCCCCCGAGCGGGAATAAATGCCGCGCTCACATCACAGACGGCAAAACTACATCACAGACGGCTCAACTCTATCACAGATCAATGCCAAAAGCTTTCTCAGCTTGGCTACTTGGGCAACAGACTTCGGAACACAAAAACAAAATCAAACAAAATAAACATTCTTTTTTCAATTACTGACCATTGCTCACAAAGTTTGAAACAATCAAAAGTGAAAAATCCCCCCCAGGAACATGGTGAAAAGATGACCAACGGCGTGTTCAAGTGGACGGGCCAGCAAGTATACACCGAGGACCCTGCATCTTTTCCTTCCCGACATCTTTCCCTTGACAAGACGTGTGGATGTGGAGACGTGTGGATACGTGTGTCCCCCCCCTCCCCCCCATAAAAGTAACAGCCACACTGCCTGTCCCTAAGAAAAGAGATGATCTTATGTCCTCGATATATTCTCAAGCTTTCCCAAACTGAGAGCTGTGCAAAATGAGGAGACAAAACTGTCACTTGAAGATGGAACTTTTCCATAAGAGACAAAACTGTCATTTGAAGATGGAACTTTTCCATAAGAGACAAAACTGTCACTTGAAGATGGAACTTTTCCATAAGAGACAAAACTGTCACTTGAAGATGGAACTTTTCTTTTTCTTTTCCTGCAACAATGGGAAACGTCCAGGGGAGAGACAAGAGCATCATTTCCATGAACAAATGGAGGAAGGTACACCCTCCCCCCCCCCCCCCCCTTCTCTCTCTCTCTCTCTCTCACAAACACACACAATATTATACAGCAAATAGACCCAACATTACTTTACCTTTTCCCCACCCAAAGCCAGAAGAGATTTGTACTCCTGTACATTCTGCCAATGTTCTCTCAACAAAACACCAACAGGAAGAAATACTAGGAAGCAAAGGACCCCTAGCTCAGCATATCAACCATGTTCAAAACAACAAAGGAAAAACATCTGTCATACATACATGATAGACTGACCACTACATCACATACACTGACCTCATACATACACTGACCTCCTACATAGACTGACCACTACATCACATACACTGACCTCATACATACACTGACCTCCTACATAGACTGACCACTACATCACATACACTGACCTCCTACATACACTGACCACTACATCACATACACTGACCTCCTACATAGACTGACCACTACATCACATACACTGACCTCATACATACACTGACCTCCTACATAGACTGACCACTACATCACATACACTGACCTCCTACATAGACTGACCACTACATCACATACACTGACCTCCTACATAGACTGACCACTACATCACATACACTGACCTCATACATACACTGACCTCCTACATAGACTGACCACTACATCACATACACTGACCTCCTACATACACTGACCACTACATCACATACACTGACCTCCTACATAGACTGACCACTACATCACATACACTGACCTCATACATACACTGACCTCCTACATAGACTGACCACTACATCACATACACTGACCTCCTACATAGACTGACCACTACATCACATACACTGACCTCCTACATAGACTGACCACTACATCACACACACTGACCTCATACATAGACTGACCACTACATCACATACACTGACCTCCTACATAGACTGACCACTACATCACACACACTGACCTCATACATAGACTGACCACTACATCACATACACTGACCTCCTACATAGACTGACCACTACATCACATACACTGACCTCATAGACTGACCACTACATCACATACACTGACATAGACTGACCACTACATCACACTGACCTCATAGACTGACCACTACATCACACTGACCTCATAGACTGACCACTACATCACATACACTGACCAAGAAACATACAAGTCACAGAAACATACAAGTCACACACAAACATACAAGTCACAGAAACATACAAGTCACACACAAACATACAAGTCACACAAACATACAAGTCACACACAAACACACAAGTCACACAAACACACAAGTCACACAAACACACAAGTCACACAAACACACAAGTCACACAAACATACAAGTCACACAAACATACAAGTCACACAAACACACAAGTCACACAAACACACAAGTCACACAAACACACAAGTCACACAAATCACACAAACACACAAGTCACACAAACACACAACACACCTCCAGGTGGCCTCAATGACAGCCAGCAAAACTTAAAGACAGATAAACGAACACAACACAAAACTTAAAGACAGATAAACGAACACAACACAAAACTTAAAGACAGATAAACGAACACAACACAAAACTTAAAGACAGATAAACGAACACAACACTGGCCAAACATTCCCTATGCACTGAGGGTTATCAAAGTGTGTAGCAGTTGAGGGTGTCCCTCTATCAAAGTGTGTAGCAGTTGAGCGTGTCCCTCTATCAAAGTGTGTAGCAGCTGAGCCTGTCCCTCTATCAAAGTGTGTAGCAGCTGAGTGTGTCCCTCTATCAAAGTGTGTAGCAGTTGAGTGTGTCCCTCTATCAAAGTGTGTAGCAACTGAATCTGTTGCTGCGTCGTGTCAGACTTCACCGTGTCGTGTGGGACTATCCCTCTACCAAAGTGTGTAGCAGCTGGATCTGTCGCTGCGTCATGCTGGGTTCAGCACTGGCTTTCTCCATCAAGCCCTGTCCCATGAGGTCGTAGAGAGGGGAGACAAGCATGACGGTGGCCTGGCGCAGGTCCGGGGCGCCACCGTGGCTCGCTGTGCCACTAGAGTTGATGCAGCCCAGCAGGTGCCAGAGGACGGGCAACACATGTAGCACCACAGGCTTCTGTTTACGCGGATACCACGCGCTCCGCCAGGTCTGGGGGGAGGGAGAGGACATATGGTGTGTGATACATACACA